CATGTAACATTTTAATCAATAAAGAATTTAAATTTTTTTTAAAAAATAGCTTTTGTGCCCGAAGATTCAGAAAAATGAAGGGACATTTCGCTCATAACATTGTGCAAAGGTTTAAATGAGAAGCTGGAAAAAGCAAACAATCAAGATGTGTGGCTGAATTATCAAAAAAAAACCCCAAAGAATTCATCATGGACCGGCTCGGTTCTGCCGTGCTTCCTGGTTCAATGTTAGCACAGGGACCGTCTCTTATTCCTGGCTCACCCTGCAAGTGTCCCCGCCAGCTCGGGAGATTTAAGAGAATGAAGGAAATGTCACAGGAAGCCTACCTGTTTAGACAGGCCTAAACGGCCGCAGGCAGCTGCCACTGAAAACTCCCGCAAAGTTCAATACACGAAACTATGTTGGAGAAAGTGCACACACACAGCAGGGAAAGGGAAGGAGGAGCGTGTAGGCAGCCGGGAGGGGGTAAAGGCTCCAGAGATGGAGAGACGTCTATGTTCCAGCAACAGACAAGAAGATTCCAGAAAAACATGGCCCTGTAGGCCAGGACGTGCAGACACATTTGACTGGACAGACTGTGTCACCAACGGACCACGTGGGAGGGTAAGCAGGCCTTCGGCGCCTCTGGGCTCTAACTGGTTCCATCAGAAGGTTGAAGAGTTGACCCCAAAAATCATTTTCACACTACAAAGCTAATTTTTTTTTAATCTGCACCCGAGGATTATATTTCCATTGATTTTTAGAGAGAGTGGGAGGGTGGCGGGGGTGGGGGGAGTAAGAGAGAAACAGAGAAACATCGATGTGAGAGAGACACATCAATTGCTTGCCTCCCACATGAACCCAGGATCGAGCCTGCAACCAACGTATGTGCCCTTGACCGGAATCAAACCCGGGACCCTTCAGTCTGCGGTCTGATGCTCGATCCACTGAGCCAAACTGGCTAGGGTGAATTTTGTAGATATAAAATATTTTACATTGGGCACAACACTTCTATCTATAGAAAAGGCTAATATGCAAAGTGTCCCCGCAGGAGTTCGACCGGGAGACCGAGAGTTCTATCGCTTGCTAAGACGTGCGCTGACCACGGGGGCAGCACGGAACAAAGGAAGGCCCCGGCTGGCAGTCGGAAGTCCCAGATCAGCTCTGATCAACAAAGGAACCCGGCTGGCAGTCGGAAGTCCCAGATCAGCTCTGATCGCCAGCCAGGCCTAGGGACCCTACCCATGCCCAAATTTCGTGGTGCGGGCCTCTAGTATAACAATATTGTTGGTTGTTGTCATTCAAGTAATGGTGTTCTTTTCTGATCTGTTACCTAAGTCCGCAGACTCAACCCCACATCTTTCATAATGCTAAAAATAGTTCCCCAACCACCACCAAAAAAAGAAGAAGAATTACACAAGAATTATTTTTGTTTGTTTCTGGTTTGGTTTGGGGTTTTTTGTTTGCTTTTCTGTTTTATGCATCGTCACCTCGGTTGCCACTCAGACCTGAACATGGTCACGACCACACAAATAGGTTGAATCTTTTCTTTTTAATTTTCCTGATCAGTTTGCAGATGAATATTCTCGTGAATACTCCTGTTTATCAGTTGCCTTTCAATAGACAAAGTTGAAACAGGCTATCCTAAACTTTCAGTTCCTCCAAAACAACCACCCATCAATTATATATAGAAGAATAGGGTTAATTTACGATGAACATAAATGATAAGTGAGTGTTTCTAATAAAATACAAAAATGAAGAGGTTCACCCTAACCGGTTTGGCTCAGTGGATAGAGCGCCGGCCTGCGGACTGAAGGGTCCCAGGTTCGATTCTGGTCAAGGGCATGTACCTTGGTTGCGGGCATATCCCCAGTAGGGAGGGTGCAGGAGGCAGCTGATCGATGTTTCTCTCTCATCGATGTTTCTAGCTCTCTATTCTTCTCCCTTCCTTTCTGTAAAAAATCAATAAAATATATTTTTTTTAAAATGAAGAGGTTGGATAGCAAGCATTTGACCTTGTGACAATGATATGGGCTCAGATTCTGAAAACCAGGCCCTGTCCAGGTAGCTCAATTGGTTAGAACGCCGTCCCCATGCAATGAGGTTGTGGGTTCAATCCCCAGTCAGGGCACGTACATACAAGAAGCAACCAATGAGAGATCAACCAAAGGACTTGTATGTATGCATATTAGCATAACCAATGGACACAGACATTGGGGCGGTGGGGGTTTATCCTGGGGGGTGGGAG